CCCGCCACCGAATGTGTTTTCGGGATTGCCTCGAAAGTAATGATGGTCATCATGAGTTCATTATCTTGATTTGAGTGTCATTGGCAAAGTTGAAAAGAAGGGGAATCTGTTTTCTTCGTCAATATAAGGTACCCGTGCCCTATGATCACGAGAAAGACCATTGTAGAAGCTTTGGAAGAATCTGCCGATCTGGTCTTCATTGGCCTCTGTTCTGTGGAGGACAATTATGGCTTCACCAAAATTGAGGGGTGAGCGTGTTGCCGATTCCTCATCCCCAAGCACGTGGTCTTCACAATTTCTCGTGGGAATTGTTGGGCAAAGAAGTCCCATTGCGCAGGCGTTTGTGCATATGGGCATTCACCACATGTTGATAAACCACCACGGGCCTCCTAAGTTGCCGATGGGTTCGCCAAGCAAAAGTTTCGAGACACTTGATGAAGAAGATGATAAGTGGAGCTCGGAAGGTATCGCCAAGAGGAACCTTACACCATTGGCCAAGAGTTCATTGCATTTGGGAGGAAGGCGTTGGTTGGTCCTCTTGATCGACCACGGAAGATAAATTTTTCTAACCACATATTCAAGAATGTGGCATGTTCCGTCTCAGTTAATCTGTCCGGTCCTCGGCATTCTTGAATATATCCCAATCAACCGCCGATGTTATGGGTATTCACCCTATATTATTGATTTTTCGCCATAGATGGAGCACTTTTATGTGTGGGAGTAGTGGGCCATGTCCAAACATAAAAGTGTTTGTTGTGTCTCGACTGTAAGTAAGCAATTTGCAATCATCATTGACTCGTTCTTTTGCATATCGGCAATGGATAGCCTAATGCATTGGTCTAGCTTCCGATTACCCCCGGTGTACTTGCATCGACTGTTGACCCTCAAGTACCAATCTTTCCACCCTTTGGTGGTTTTGGGCCAAGATCGGAATGTATCTTTCCATAAATTGAGAGAGAAATTTTGGGCTCTAAAAGAGATTCTCATTAACCTCTGCATTAATCGGGATGGGGTTGGATCTGGGTTGCCCATTGGTCCTAGGCATTGAAAATGCTACCGATCGGTTGGAATAACTAATTTGTTGCGAAGTTCCTAAGTTTAGAGGATCCGAAGAACAAAGAAAAGAGAAAAATTACCAACCTGTATGAACTCGCAAAGACCAGAGGAATCGAGGTAAAAAGTAACGGAAGTGGAAAAATGGCAATTCATCATTCTGCATGGATGTAAACCTTGTGGTCATATAAATAAAATCATAACTCAAGGTAACAGGAAGCTATGCTTGCATAATTTAGAATTATCCCATGGCTGTTGCTAATGATGATCCTATGCTGGTTATGTCGAGATAAAAATGCGATCCCCACCTTCATCAACTGATATGCATGGTTCAAGACATTGAACTATAGAATATCACTTTTCGAAGACATATAAGTTTACCTTCACAGGAACAGAGCATTCATAGGTACACCTACATAGGCGACCAAACCACAACTTTATAAATAGGCGCAGATGCATAATAGCAATCAAGGAATCGTGATGGTATCATCTGGAGTAAAATGACCACATGTCACTGTGTTACTTTGTCCAGCAAAGGTATTTAGAATGGCATTATGGTCAGCATTCCACATCCATACTGCGATTATCAAATGTCCCCGAGGATGCCATTTAAGGTTTGGGTCGTTCAGTAAATGAAGTTTGTGCCGGGCACTCCAAAAATAAATGCTTCAGGGTGGTAAGGTCTAAAAATAACACATTTAAAGGAAAAGGAAAATTCCATATAGGAAACAGGGGAAAAACAAAAGGTATGAACCTGTCAGTCATCTTTTCTTTGAAGGTCATTATAATATTGAATGGGTGCTATACTGCAATTTCATTTTATAAAAGAAGGGACTAATATACAGTACATCCATGTGTAGAGTAAACAAATATTTGTAATTATAGTCATCAGGACTAACAATACGGCAAGCACATCTATATCTATATTATGTAAATATGCCATGTCAATAAGCAGCAACAGATCAGTTAATATTTGGTCAACTGAACATGTGGATGTGGGAAGCTAGTCACTCACCTAGCTTGGAAAGGCTTAGCAGCATTCTTCCTACTGTGCTGCTGACCATGTATATATTTGATTCTCAAATAAACAGTAGGATAAATAGATGGAACATTGATTAAACTAACTTGAAGACATAGGCACAATCTGAGCTGCAAAACTCTTCTCCATCTGCCCCATGATGTTTGAAAAGTTAGTTATTTTTTTATTGTAATGAAGCTTCCTTCATTTACAGTTATAAAATAATAGTCTACTAACCATGTATGTGCTTATTTATGGGAGTAGAGATCAATAAAACTTAATAATTTGAATGTGCTCGTCTACAATTGCCCCTAAATAGTGGTTGCCACAATACAGTTGTACTTTTCTTATATGTAATTTATTTAGTGTCAATGTTACAATAGACTTCATACTTTACTTGAGTAAGATGGATTTTTAGACAGTACTTTGGACATTAAACAATGAAATATGCCAGAATTTTACAATGGTTTTTCAACACAACTGCCATAGCTATGGTTTCTATCAAGTAAAAGTAGTCTTGCAATAAGGAAGGGCCAATTTCAGCATGAACTAAATAAGCCACTCTAACAAATATTAGGGAATTGGGACCTGTACATACAATCTAATAGTATGGACTAAATAAGGTACTGTAACAAACATTTGGGAATTGGGACCTGTACATACAATCTATCAGATTAAATAGGAGCAAACTGAAATACACTGGCTGACAAGGGAAAATAGCCCAAAGAGGGATTTTTACCTTTGGCGGTTCAGGAAGCAGCGATAGCCTGCATGAAAATTCCACTCTGTAGTTAAGAGATTGCATTAGCACCTTGAGAATATGATAAATGCAGTTCCCAAAGATAAAATTCAGAAGTTGCTATTAACAAACAAAAGATAACAAAGGAATTTTTACCTTTGGCGGTTCAGGAAGCAGCGATAGCCTGTATGAAAATTCCGCTCTGTAGTTAAGAGCTTGCATTAGCACCTAGAATATGATAAATGCAGTTCCCAAAGATAAAATTCAGAAGTTGTTATTAACAAACACAAGATAGCAAAGGCTAACTATTTTTATTAAGCAAAGATCTCCCAATCCATCACCTTTTATTGCACAGACCGTAATGTAAAGATCGCCCAATCCATCATCTATGATTGCTGTGCAAAATTAATCTACCAGAAACAAATGGCTTTTAGGCCTCTATAAAGCAACTCTAAATTAAATAATGTCCATGCTCAACAAAGATGCTTGAACAATCTTAGAGGAATAACATACCAAACGAATATCTAGCATATTGCTTTAGGGAAGCTGAGAAGCTAAAACACAGCCTAGAAGCTGTTGAAACACAACTAGAAAATGTTATCATTTGTTTTAATGTTTCCATTACGAAAAAAAGGGAATTACTTCAGTTGTTTTCTCCCATAATCGAGTCTTCTCATGCAAACCATACGCTACAGTTACAGAGGTATTACTTGATCTTCTTTTTTCCTAGACGCAGCACTGGACGTTAAGTGCACAATTACATAATGAAAATATGAAACATTACTGATTCAAATTGATCTGTTTATAACGCAAGTACCTGCAAATTAGCTGTCTATGCTATTCATCCAAGCAGTGGGGGTCAGTGCACTCGAGGCCACCAAACTGATGTGCTGGGAACCCATGCCAGGCTGAATCTAACACACACCAATCTGTCATGGACATAGAAACCCTAGAGTAGAAATCAAAACTAAAATCGGAGAAGGTCGCTAGGGTTTCACGGATCACAGTAGCAGAAGAGGACCGGCGGAAGGAGACAGCGTCGGGGGTGCATGCCGTCGGCGGCCACCGGTGGGGGTCGCGGCCGCACCCCGCCCCCCGTGCGGCGCGAGGGGGCGTGGAGGAGGAGAAGGACGGCCACCGCACCGCCGCCCTGCTCGCGCCCGCGTCAGGAGAGATGGGGAGAGAGAGGGAGGGGAAGAGTAGAGGTTGTGGGGACTCACCAGCACGGGGAACCGAGGGGGAGGGGGCCGTCGCCTCGGGAGAGATCGAGAGTGAGAGATGACGGGGAGAGAAGCGGGCTTTTTTTTGCTGGAGGAGAAGCGGAAGTTGAGCAATATATTTGTCTGGCTGGATTCCAACGAGAAGTCGGAAAAGCAGAGTAGAAGCCCGAGAAGCAGGAGAAGCCGCCCCCAGCGGAATCTGCTTCAAGAGATCGGACGGCTGCAGGAACTTCGGGTGACGTGGACACGGCTTCTATTGCAGGAGCTAATGGGTTTTGTGGGGTTAATAAATAAGTATAGTTGAAAATCAATGCCATGCGTGATACTCCCTGTCTGCAAATGTCTGATAATCTGAATGATACCGTGTATTATTCCGATCACACATGCAACTGCGTTCCCTGTCTGCGGTTGCCAATGGCACGGCAGACTGGAGTAGAACGTGCAAAGAGTCCAGTTGCTTTGCTATTTCTCCTCCCGGCTCAAGGCGAGCAGGAAGCTGGATTTTTGTAAACCTTTTTAAATTAATATTTTAAAAATAATATATCCTTTTTTTACTCTTTTGGTCGCCCATGTGCGATTTACAAGCTTTTTATTTTTATTACGTTTTTAAAATTAATTAATGTTTTAAAATAGCCTATCCAGCTTGATTTAAAAATGGTTAGATCTGAAAAAGTTATAATAAAGTATTTTTAAATTTAAAATATTGATTTAAAATGGGTTAAAAAAAATAGCAAGCTGCTGCTGCTTCAGGAATCAGGATCGGATCACAGAAGAACCAACGCCAGGGAGAGCAAGCGTGCGTTGGAGGCCCACGTGCCCTGCGCGCCTAACGCGGCGGCTGTCGCGGACCCGGCCCAATAAAACTGAGCTCCGTTTTCTTCGGTTCCGCCCCAACCCCCAACCAGCACGAGTCCACTGTGACCATTGACCAGTCACCACCTCTCTGCCCAGCGCTCAGCGGGCCACTACCATGGCGTCGGAATCCGAGGTCTACAGCTGGGAGCCGCACCCGCTCCATCCCGACGGCACTGAGCCGCTGCACCGGATCGCCGTGGACTACTGCCCGGAGGTGTGTCTCCACGAGCGCCACGCGGGGGAGATCCACGTCACCTACGACCACCGCGGCGGCGCGCGCTGGCGCTCCCGCCGCCGGTTCCTCCCTGGCAGCGCCGTGGCCACCACGATCCGCACGCCGGCGGGGGACACGTCGGGCCTCAACTACAACATCTACCTGTCCTCCCTGGAGGGCTCCAAAGACCAGGACGAGATCGACTTCGAGTTCCTCGGCCACGACAAGCGCGCCGTCCAGACCAACTACCACGTCGGCGGCGACGGCGGACGGGAGCAGATCCACGCGCTCCCCTTCGATTCTTCCGACGGATTCCACCACTACGCCATCGCCTGGGACGCGGCCGCCATCGAGTGGCGCGTCGACGGCGAGCTCGTCCGCCGCGAGCAGCGGCGGGAGGGGGAACCGTGGCCGGAGAAGCCCATGTACCTGTACGCCTCTGTGTGGGACGCCAGCCACATTGCCGACGGGGCGTGGACCGGTACGTACCACGGCCGCGACGCGCCCTACGTCTGCAGCTACAAGGACGTCAGGGTGCCCACTGCCGAGCATTCACTGGAAGAGGAGCCGCACCCGCTCCACCCCGACGGCACTGAGCCGCTGCAGGAGATCGCCGTGGACTACTGCCCGGAGGCGTGCCTCGAGGAGCGCCACGTGGGCGAGATCCACGTCACCTACGATGCCCGCGGCGGCGCGCGCTGGCGCTCCAAACGACGGTTCCGCCCCGGCAGCGCCGTGGCCACCACGATCCGTGCGCCGGCCGGGGACACGTCGGGCCTCAACTACAACATCTACCTGTCCTCCCTGGAGGGCTCCAAAGACCAGGACGAGATCGACTTCGAGTTCCTCGGCCACGACAAGCGCGCCGTCCAGACCAACTACCACGTCAACGGCGACGGCGGGCGGGAGCAGATCCACGTGCTCCCCTTCGACTCCTCCGACGGCTTCCACCACTACGCCATCACCTGGGACGCGGCGCGCATCGAGTGGCGCGTCGACGGCGAGCTCGTCCGCCGCGAGGAGCGGCGCGAGGGGGAGCCGTGGCCGGAGAAGCCCATGTACCTGTACGCCTCCGTGTGGGACGCCAGCTACATCGCCGACGGGGCGTGGACCGGCACGTACCACGGCCGCGACGCGCCGTACGTCTGCAGCTACAAGGACGTCAGGGTGCCCACTGGCAAGGATTTAGTGGAAGAGGAAGAGCATCAAGATGCAGATGCCGCTGATGCGCCTGCTGACGATCCTGAAGCCGACGCCGCTGCTGATGCTGCGGCGGCGGCGGCGGAAGAAGAGAAGGACGCCGGAGCCGGTGAAGTTTAGATCTTGGTGGTGCGATGCATTGTCGTTTTGTTCAAGTGTCGCTGCAACTGAAAAGGATCTATGAATAATGGATGTGGTCTGATCAGTGAAACAAACATTTCATCTGCTGTATTATGTTGTTCGTTGAATAATTCAATGTGTTGTGTTATGCTTCGGTCCCTATGCTACGGACTGAGGATTGGCTTAGAACTTCGATTTGAGGTCCGGCAAACTGGCAATAAGCTCACGTGATAATGGACATGTCAACAATGGTTATTCAAAAATTGATTAGGAAAATCCGGCACTGCTCGACCATCAAGTTCTTCGAATGGAACAGGCTAAATAAAACGGATTTAGTAGGCCCAATATGGAACCCGTTCGGCCCGAGTAGGCCTGCTGCCTGACAGATGCGGCTAGGCCAGTAGGCCCCATCAGCATCCCGACAACACAAGCCACAGCCACACCTGTCTCGGCTCGACTCCGGCGAGCGCGATGGACGCAAACGTGGCGCTGGCGCTGCTCTCCTCCTGCTCGCCCTCCACTTCCGCCGCCGCCTCCTCGCTCCTCCCTCGTCGCCGCTGCCTGGCCTCCCGCCGAAGAGCAAGCTCACGAGCCACCATCAGTAAGCTTGCCTCCCCACTCGCCCACCACTGATTAACCTCCCTGGTATTCGCGCCGATTTAATTTCTCCGCTGTGATGTGCTGCGCCGATTTAGTTTCTGTGCTGTGCTGTCTCGATTGATTCTAGACTTCTAGTAGAATCAACGAGAATTGTGGTTGAACTAGAATGGTGAATTTGCTGCTGGCGGTCGAGTGCTGAGAGACATTGGGTTTGGCCGTTTAGTACCGTTGGCTGCGTAGCTTTTATGCACAACAGATTCCAGCCCCAATTCGTGTCACCTTATATTCAGAATGCATGTGTCGTACTATGGAGTTTGCAGTTTTCGATTACCTTAATTGTTTGCCTGTAATTGGTTTGTCGTGCGTCTCGCAGTGGCGGCGTTGGGCGATGACCCAATCAGGGAATGGATTCTTACAGAAGGGAAGGCCACGCAGATAAAAGGGATAAGGTCCATTGGTGGTGGCTGCATTAACTCTGCTCAGCGCTATGATACTGACGCGGGGCCCTTCTTTGTGAAGACTAATAGGTGCGCTCAAAGAAAATCTATCTTCTGAACTTATAATTGTTGCCATGAGATTGTGAATACCAATAGGTAATGATGCTTTCGGTTTTGTTTTGACAATGATTGAATTAACTACTTTTTTATGTTCCAGCCGCATTGGTCCAGAAATGTTTGAAGGGGAAGCTCTTGGTTTGAAGGCAATGTATGACACAAAGTCAATCCGTGTTCCTTTGCCATACAAGGTGAGAGAAGTGGCAGCAGATGCTGGAATATGTACATCTGCAAACGTGGAATGCAATGACGTTGCTGTTGTGATACTATTACATGACCGGTACTGTGATGCCCATACATGATGGGAGTACTCGTATAGTGACTGAAATCTTCAGTACTGGCCATTTATGCTGCGAGTTAATTAGCATACATATTTCCTTTCGTCCCACTGATGTAGAGACTGTTAATCATCTAGTAGTACCAATGTCTGCTTATGGTAGTGATGTTAGTTCACTTGTTTCAGTAGTTCTCTGCATCACTTGTTGTCTTCAACTTTAATCCTTTTTTATGCCTGCCACTAGTATAGGTTGGGTCATTACCTACCGGTGGTTCTTTCATCATCATGGAGTTTATTGAATTTGGCCCTTCAAGGGGAGACCAGGTAACTATATACCAAATACTTTTGAACTTTGATTCACCTCTCTTTCCTTTATAATTAACATAACTCTTTTTGTCAGTCAGTTTTGGGAAGGAAGCTTGCCGAAATGCATAAGGCTGCTAAATCTGATAAGGGATATGGTTTCCATGTTGAGAATACTATTGGAAGGTAGTATCGTTTGATGAAACATGGTCTTAATTCAGGTGTATCGGAAGTTGAGAACTCTGTCAGTCTCCCTAATCCACCTGTTTTGTTATTGCAGCACTCCACAAATTAACACTTGGACTGATGACTGGATTGAGTTTTACTCCAAGCATAGATTGGGTTACCAGTTGGAGTTGGCATCGAGACGATACGGAGATTCTGCCATACTCGAAAAAGGTACAGTTGGAAAAAGACGATTAAGTTGGTATTTATCATTTCTCTCACGGTCTGCCATTGTTCTTAGCTAAGTTTTGCTAATAGTGTAGTAACTGATTTTTTTCTATTCCTTTTTGCATAAATTCCTATGCACAGGTCAGCGATTGATCAACAATATCCACCCACTTTTTGATGGAGCTGTTATTGAGCCCTGCTTGCTTCATGGTGATCTCTGGAGCGGAAACATAAGCTCTGATAGCAATGGGGATCCTGTAATATTGGATCCTGCTTGCTACTGTAAGTAAAATTGACTGATTTTAGCATTCAAATTCAGGATCATGAGTAGTGGTTGCAAAAGGATGAATTTACTTGATTCTTTCAAGTAATTTTCATCAAAGGTATTCTATTTTAAATATTCTGTTGCTGAAGTTCCCACAATGTGTTGCATAAGTTACCAGCAAACAATTTACAAAGACATGATTACCGGTTCTTCAACTGCAGATGGACACAACGAGGCAGAGTTTGGGATGTCCTGGTGTGCTGGATTTGGTGGGGACTTCTATAATGCCTATTTTCAGGTACCCATTGATTTTTGCTGAAGATTTGGTTGGAGCACCGCCAAGGGCTCACGTGCAAACGGATAATAGGCATACTTAACAAACCACCGTCCGAGGTTAATGGTTACGGGTCAGATTTGTTTTGTGGAGTTACCTTTTGTTGGCCTATAAAGTCCCAGACCTGAAAACTCTAGCAGGAAGGTTCCTTTGGTAAAGAATGGTGTCAACAACATAGTTATTGTCTTACACCATCGAATAAGGCGGTCCAAGTGTTGAGTGGAAATTGCTTACTTGTTTTGTAGGCAATATCTTTCGAGCACTGCCACAAAATAGAGTTACCACCTCCAGCTTTGCTTCCTGAGTGCTTGTCTTTCTCTAGTCCTACTAAAATTCCAAGCCTTGTGGTCGGTGGATTACTCAATTCTTCACTATTTTGATGGAGACATTAACAGTACTTTACTCTTACTCTAATACAGGTGATGCCGAAACAACCAGGGTTTGAGAAGAGGAGGGACCTCTACCTCCTCTACCACTACCTGAATCACTACAATCTTTTTGGCTCCGGGTACCGTTCATCAGCTATGTCCATAATCGAAGACTACTTATATGTGCTGGCGGCTTAGTTTCTTCTGTTTATTCTCACATGAAAATAGAAGCAACGATGTACCTGTGCTGCTGTGCATAACATGTTCCATAGCTATCCCTCTCGGTATGCTGTGGATTCGCTCCCTGTAAAATCTGTTAGCTCTTTGCGTGCATAATCTCATGCTACACCACTATATCAGTCACTGAAAAAATCTTCATATGTGCAAATAAATATCTCACTGCGGATCCATTTGGACACGTTTTGTGCCTCAGAAGGATAATAATGTATTTCTTGGTCCCAGTAATCCGCCCGTGTGGTGGAGAATCACGATTCGGTCCCAGGAAGAACGAGTCAACGTAATAGTGATCCTCTGACAGCGGATATATGCTTGCGACCTGGATATTCTTAACAACGTTAGTGAAAAGGCATCCGCGCACTAAGACATTCTTAACCACCGGTGAGCACCTAACGTGGCGGCCTCCCATTCGACCTCTGCCGGAAAGGCTTCAAAAGTATAGTCTTTTGTCGCTCCCTGTGCTTTCCAGGTAATCCTTAGCGATGCAAGCAAATCAGACGCGTCGTCCCAAGTTTTTCCACCACCTACTCCGTCGTTTTTAAGCCCTCGCGCTCCTAGCATCGCAATGGCCGTGGTCGTAGCCGTAGCATCCGGAACTGCCATTGCTCACGTTTTTGCTGCCGGAAAGCCCTGGTTTCGCCGGCGAAGAACAGAGCAGCGTGTCCGGCCCAGATGGAGCAGGAGGCGGGCACAGCACAGCAACTGCTCGGGAGGCGCGTGCGCGCGGACACGCGGCACCCGGTGTACCGCGGCATCCGGTACCGCGGGGGCAAGTGGGTGTCGGAAATCCGGGAGCCGCGCAAGTCCAACAGGATCTGGCTGGGCACGTACCCGGTGCCGGAGATGGCGACTGCCGCGTACGACGCCGCCGCATTGGCGCTGCGGGGCGCCGAGGCCGCGCTCAACTTCCCCGGCGCGGCCCGCGCCGGCCTCGTGCTCCCCCGACGACATCCGCGCGGCCGCCGCCGCTGCTGCCGCCGCGGTGATCGCCCGCTCCCACTCGCCGCAGGCGAGTGGTGAAGCTGCTGCGAGCACGTCGTCGTCCGGTGCCGGTGCCCGCGGCCCGGCGCCGGAGCACCGAGCGGGCGACAGCAGGCGCATCGTGGACGAGGACGACGTGTTCCACGTGCCCGGGCTGCCGGCGGGCATGGCCGAGGGGCTGATGATGAGCCCGCCGAGGCTCGTCGGCCCCGCGACGGACGGCGCCGTGTCGCCGGAGGAGGACGGCGTGGTGAGCCTGTGGGATCACTCGTGAACTGAACCGTGCATGCATTGCATCCTGACGTGGACGTGAGCGTCAACGGCTACACACACTATACATGGACGAGGCGTGCTTCTGGAACGAAGCTGTCCTTTGCTCAGTTTGCTGCACTGCATGCACGGATATGCACTTGTGGATCAGGATCAGCTAGGTAGCCGTGGCCAAGTTACGGCGGAGTTGATGCTCCTGACACTCTGCCACCAGATCGCTGAACACATGCATCTATAGTAAGGGCCCGTTTAGTTGGCAAAAATTTTTGGTTTTGGGTACCGTAGCATTTTCGTTTGTATTTAGCAATTAGTGTCTAATTATAGACTAATTAGGTTTGAAAGTTTTGTCTCGCGATTTCTCACCCAACTGTTTAATTAGTTTTTTTCGTCTATATTTAGTACTCCATGCATGTGCCGTAAGATTTGATATGATGGATACTATGTAAAAATTTTTGGATTTTGGGTGTAACTAATCATGCCCTAACTCCAGTAGCGGTCCGCACTCGTCTCCCGTGCCCGGGCTCTGCACACTTCGCTGGAGATCAGAGCAGAGCAGAGAGCATGGACGAGGCGTGTCCCACAGATGTATAAATTCTGGGCCAACATGTAACGTGCTCGAATCTGTACCAAAGGTTCATTGCCATCATCATCGGCCAGCATCCAACGTCCTCGCTGTGTTTTCACGTGGCACTCTCGAAACGCGAATTGTACAGTACAGGGCAGCAGAAAGCCTCTCACGTCCCGCGCACACTCCGTTCGTGTACGACTGTACTCTGTACGTGGTGTAGCAGGTGGCCAATAGCCGTGGCCCGTGGGCGGCAGGCAGATTTCAACTGGAGTAGGGCGTGGCACTGTACTCGAGGCGTAGTGAACGGAATGCCATATTGCCATGCCCGAAACGGCATCTGGTCCCTCGGCTCGGCTCGATGGATTGGTTAGCTAGCGCTCTAGCAGTAGTACGCGGGAACAGCAACCGTCACGTACGTACCTGTTCGACACGAGGCGCTGCTGTTGGCTGGGTACGCGATTCGGGAGTCGTCGTCGGTGCTAGCGTGCGTGGCGCCGCCACCGATCGCTTGCTCGCCCGCCCTCGTATCTGGGTTCTCCGCTGATGTCATGCCATGGCGCGGGCGGTGTGCCGGCCTGCCGAGCGAGAACTACGTGTCGGGGCGACGACGGAGCCGGTTTCTTCCGGCACTTTGGACGGCTGTGCCGTTTCCGCGTCGCTAGACAAAAGCAGATCCAGTTTCTAGCTCCGCCGCTGCGTACGCTTCGGTCCACCGTCAGAATGTGACTTTTTTTTTTTTTTTTGAGGAGAGTCAGAATGTGACATGAGCGATCACGTAGCAGGAGGCCAGGAGCAGAGGCCCGTCGGGCTCTAGTTTACTGTGGCAGGTACACCCACACCGACACCGGAATTGGAATAATCCAGATTTTTTTGGTGGGATATCCATATCTTGAGTTAGATATAAATACGAATTCAAACGTTCTCAAATACGAGTGCAGAACAAGTAGTTCAAATTTGAATTTACATTCTTATCTATACTCTATTGTTCTGCGTGTTTTTTTTATACTTCCTACAACGCTCTCAGTTAGAGTCTGATCCCAAGACGTGTCAAGCGAAGGTATGGAATTGGATTCCAAAACATTGGAACATATCACGAGTTCACGACCGTGGAATAAATCTCTACCCTACAAATTGTCGAGTTGACTATGCAACAAATTATATGTTTCGTTGCACACGTGAGCACGTTTTAAAGTACTCCCTCGGCCCCAAACTAAGCGTCCATCTCGTATTTCAATAAGTCAACTACTTTTAAGTTTGACTAAACTTTAAAAAATAGTATATTTATACCTGTTGATATGTTTACTATGAAAAATATATGGCAATCTAATGATGATTCCATGATATTATAAACATTAAAAATTTATATATTTGGTTAGATTTCAGACTACTTGACTTCTCGAAATATGATATGAGCATTTATTTTGAAGCAGAGGGAGTGATTTCTATTTTAATTAATTGTGATGTATGATATTTGAGTTATGTGATTCTTGGTGGATGGTTATGGTTCGTGGCATGTATTTCTACAACTTGATCTTGTGTTTTAGCTGCGCTTAGTGGAGATCATGGATGACGACTCTAGGGACCATCCTGCGACCCTCGAGTTAAGTGCTACGGTGATCGAGTCAATGACACGTGGTACTAGCTTGATGGCCGAGGAAGTCCTTGCAGGTCTGGAAGGAGGTACCAAGGTTTATCTTCTCTCTCCCCATCATTCAATTTTTGTCCATTAGCCAGCCGTTCATGCCGTGCCCTATTGAGCAAGAAACTTATGGCATGTGTCAAGCAGAACTCCGTTGATTGTATGCTTTGATTTGGCTACGTAGTTAGCTGCTACAAGTTGTTGCACTCAAGGGCCTGGTACTTTGACCAGCAGGCGTGGAGCACATCATTCGCAACAAGGACGCAACTATTACTGTCAAAGAAAATGTCCACGGATGAGCCCCATGTAATCTGATTAACTACTCAAGAGAGAAAATATTTTTTACAAATTACATAAATTTTTGTACACATATGAAGGGCCTTTGCCCCCCCCCCCTCATCAGATTAGCGAATATGAAATTAGAAGATTGGGTATTCATTTTTATTTATTTAATCCCCAAAACAAATGAGAGGGCTTTGGCTCGGGGGCACGAGCGATGATGACAACCGCACTGCACCACCAAGATGACGATGAGTTGATGGAGGAAACAATAATTATGATGCAAATTATAGCTTAGTCTCTCGTGTTTCTGTTAAGTTCAATTTTTAAACAATCAATTACAATACAAACTATAGCTTAGTGTGTCTTGAGGTTATGTCAAGATTAACAATCTTTAGTAGTTGGCAAGAATGTTACTAATTCACTAGTGGCCCAACAAATAAAGAAATTAGCAAATTAAGAGAGTCTTCAGTTAGTAGCAGATTATATTGGTACTTACAAATTCTTTTTGATCTAGCAAATGTAAATCTAGCTAGGGCTAAATGCTAACGATAGGAGGAGAAGTTGCTTAACCTGGAACAAGTTTGTAAGAGGCGATGACCAGCGACCCGTATAGATCCTGCACAAGATGGCTATTGTGGTAGCGTGTCAAAACCGTAGTCTCCCTTGCGTCGACGAGGCGAGAGCACAAGCAAGAAAACACAATGTGGGTAGTGCGAGTTTTTTTCTTCTTCTTTCGGCCATGTGTCAGCATCCTCATGACCCATATATGCACCCACTTTTGCCATACTGGGATGAGCAACTAGAGCTAAATGTACCTTACCGTCAAGTTCATGTACTAATTGTGCATGTGGCCAATTTTTAGGGAGTTTTTATATTTCATATGCTTGAATTTGTAGTAGGAATTTTCAGGCAACAATCTTACAAATCAACTAGTATAATTAAAAGGGTAACTTATAAGAGATCATTCAAAATTTTCTCTATAGTCAAAAAATGATAAAATTATATGTTGTTTGAACAACAGCAAAAAAATCAGACACTTGAGATATCCAAGAAGTTTTTTTTTAGAACTAGCAGTTTTTTTTTGAACCGCATGCAGACGGAGTAACGGCGCGGCCAGCTGGCTGCTACAGGCCGTGGTTACTGTGGCAGGTACGGCCACGCCTCCTGCCCGGCAGGCGGCAGCGAGCCCGCCTGTGGCGCCGGCGAGGAGGTTGGGCCGGCCTATTGGATTGCAAGTTGGCTGTGGCTCGGCGTTGATGTCAGGGGGATGGGCTGGTTCGTCTGTGCTCCCGGGTGCGACCTGCAGCTGTGCTGTTGCCTGTTGGTTGCATGCAAATCCACTTTGCCGCAAACGTGATGCCCATTCAAAACTCAAAATCAAATTACATCCGCCAGAAATCGAAATTTTGAATGAATTAGTCCATGGACGACCATGGATTAATAAAGACAGAAGAATCCTGGGAATTTGTTGTCAACCCGAGCTGGCAAAGATAAACTAATCCCTGACGAGATCCAGGCGGTTTTCCATAACACATCAGGAGGTTAGTTTAGGGCGTGTTTAGTTCCGAAAATTTTTGGCTTTTGGCTACTGTAGCACTTTCGTTTGTATTTGGTAAAAATTATCCAATTATGGACTATTTAGGCTTAAAAGATTCGTCTCACGATTTCTCGGTCAACTGTATAATTAGTTTTTTTTTTGTCTACATTTAGTACTCCATGCATGTGCCGCAAGATTCGATGTAACGGATAATCTTGAAAATTTTTAGGTTTTGGGTTGCATCTAAACGGGGCCTTAGTGTGAAAAGATAAACTAATCCCTGACGACATCAGGAGGCGACGACGACGGCTGACAAGACGATCGAGACGAGCAATGCAGGCAGGCAGGAGATCGAGACACGCTTAATGGCACAGCTGGAGCGCGGGCTTCGACGCACCAGCAGTGTCCTCCATGCAGAGAGTAAAACCTGATGTACTACACGTGTGCATCCGTACCCGTAGTTCATTTTGACGGCGATTCCGACACCTGGGCGCTTGCATTCGAAAACTCTTCGAATCTCACGCTCACGCGGCGACGAGATGAACGCATGCGTGCGTGCGTCCCCGGATCGGAAACCGCGCCGAAGGTTCGCTTCTTCACTGCGAGGTCAATGGCTGCCGCCTGCCGCGGCCATCGCCATTGCTACGAGTGCACATCGCCGGAGTACTCTACTGTACAGTGTTAGCTAGCACCCGGCCCGGTGGATATCACTGTCGCAGCAAGCAGCGCATCGCATTCGGAGTGATGCACGTGATAAATGGTGGTGTGACAGGAGTACTACAAGGGTATGCGACGCACGGGAACGAACAAACACGCGTCGCATTCGCATGCAGCGACGCACAGTAAAGCGCTGACAGCAACCTTATGTTGTGGTTTGGTACGAGCTTATTGCTCCAATAATCCCAACCACAACGCCGAATTCTTTTTGTTTAGCGTTGTTGCGTGGACAGGTTATTACAGGTGAGCGAATAACCATTC